AATGTCAAGTGGATGATGAATCACAAAGGAAATCAGATAGATGGAATAGCTTGATAGTGGACCGAATCGGTATGGTAAGGATATGATTAATTTCTTTGTATGTGTTCGAGGTAATGAGCCCTTACAGGTATTGTGCAGCAAAGCTCTTGAGTGCTGACGGCTTGTCTAGTCTGGTCTAGTTAGAAAGATTGAGTCCTGACAGTTTAGCTTGTGCAAATGGAATTGGGGAAGAATTCTTGTTAGGTTTCACCATGGTTTGGAGATGTATATATCTTCTATGGGCATACGAAGCATGGAAAATGATTTTCTTCCAAATGGGATCAGTGGAAGTTGTTGGCTAGGTGAGTTACAGTTCAGTTCTGAAAAGAAGTTCATAAAACTCTTAAGTAAAGAGTAGCCTCAGATAACGAAGGAAATGATACTGCTAATTGGAAGTGATTTGACGAGAGTATTTGTCTCGGAAAGGGGTAATGTGACTTAACTGATGATACTTCGGTAGTATTGCGGTGCTTTCTTGTTAGATCGACTGCTGATGTCTGAGTTGTTTGATGGCACAGGGGAATTTTAAGAATATCTTTCGTGGAATGATTGGGTACTTGAGATGTAATATGTATTCATACGGCAGAATTTGGGATCAGGTACAGTGATTCGTGTGCTATATGGAGTTGGAGACTGTTCAGTATGTAGTGGTTGTGGATCGTGTGTATTGGTACCGTTAGCGGCTATTGGGATTTGGAGGCTCGAGTGGATCTTTCTTTGCTTGGTATATTAGATTTTGGATATGATATTGGGGTGTAGACTGGTTGTCTCAGTGTTGGGTTATTCTAGACTATTGTGCTATGGGCTATGTCGGAAAATGTCACAGGTTGCGTGGCGAGGTGCATCGGATTATGTTCTAGCAGAGTGGTTTGTATTCCGAAGACCAGCGGACGGCTGGGAAGGATTGCTTTTCTTAATTGGGCCTTCGTGGCGAATGTCAATGCAGAGGTTTCTACCATTGATTCAGTTCCAGTATTAAGGGACTCTTTTCGGATGCGTTCTTGTGGCCGGGCATGTCGCCGGGCGAGGTTGTGGATTTCGATACTGATTTGGTGCCGGGCACTGTATCGTACGGCTCCGACAGGAGTTATAGTAGTGGAAGGAGCAGCTTCAGGCTTCTTGGTAATGAGGTCGTTGGTAAGCTTGGATACGTGTTTAGCTTGAGTTGGCTCGGTTGGCCCTGAATTGTGTTGTTGAGGGTTAGGTTGATTCGATCGTTATTGAACTTGCTAGTGATCTGGGGAGATCTATGAGTTGCTTTTCTGTGCTGTGAGACGTTATGATTTGTTGGATATGGGCACATGTGGTGCGTTTCTATTGGGGATTCATAGAGGAAGTCGAGCGGGAAGAGTAATTGGGTGTTGATCGGTAAATGGAGTATCGGTTATGACCTATCGGGTTGCGTGTCGTATGTTATTTGTTTCACCGTGGGTGTAATGAATTGCTTTGGTTTCAGGCATCAAATTGTGCGTGGCTGTCGGTTTTGAGCATAGCGACTTGAGGAGTTTCATGTGTAAAAGTGTTTGGATAGGATCGCGCATTGTGGCGAGGCCACGTGGAGTTATGACCTTTCGAGGTAGATTCAGCTGTTCTATTTCTATGATGTGAGACGGGGTCTCAGCCTTGTGTTGTAATGATATTGATGAGCTTGAGGTACAGCTTTTTCGTTGAGTCATTTGTCATGATTTGAGTATGTTCAGACCGTTCCTCATTGGTGTGGGTATTATGTAAGTTGTGGTTTAGGCCTGTGTTGAGATGTCATATCACCAGAGTGGTGTGTTGGATTCGAGGTGATCGTGGAGTCATTAATGAATACGAACAGATTTGATTTCAGTTTGTTAGAAGGATAATATCGAGGTTCGGCTCGGAAATCTGTTGTGGTAATAGTCAAAGGGAAGGGATTTCATGAATGGTTGATCTGAGAAAATGGTTACGGTTTATCGCGTGTTTCATTTATCGTTGGCAGTATATGAAAGTGTTGGAATAAGACTTTAGCTAATAAGAAGTTTCTAACCGGTATTCTGGTGTTGTGGGCAACTGCTATGGATAGAAGTTATCGTTTCGAGTATTTGGGTTATGTAGTATATCATGTGATTGCACCTGAGGTTGCAGGTAAGGTCATTCAGCTATTGGTCGGCTTCTAGTACAACTCTGGGTATGCTCGAGGACGAGCGCTGGTTTAAGTTGGGGAGGATGTGACGATCCGACCCGTCGTCTCATGAGTTACCGCTTCGTTTCCCCCATTTTATGTTTCTTCATGTTTCGTTATCGGTATTTGGTTTGTTAGAGTTGATTTGGATTGGTTTTGATAAGAAATGGGACACTTAGTCTCTTTAAGGAAGGCTTAAGTTGGAAAAAGTCAACCGGACGTTGACTTATGAGTTAGATGGCTCGGAGGTGATTTTCGGTGATTCGATTAGCTTCGGGAGGTGATTTGTGACTTAGGAGTGTGATCGGAATTGATTTTGGAGGTCCGGTGTAGAATTAGGCTTGAATTGGCGAAGTTAGTATTTTGGCGAATTCCGGTTGATAGGTGAGATTTTGATCCGAGGGTCGGAATGGAATTCCGAGAGTTGATGTAGCTTCGTTATGTCATTTTGGACTTGTCTGCAAAATTTCATGTCATTCGGACGTGGTTTAGTTGGGTTTTTGATCAAAAATGGAATTTGGAAGTTCTTGAAATTGTTAGGCTTGAATCCGATGCAAATTTGGTGTTTTAATATTGTTTTGAGCATTCAGAAGGTTGGAACAAGTTTGAATAATGTTATGGGATATGTTGGCGTGTTTGGTTGAGGTCCCGAGGGCCTCGGGTGTGTTTCGGGGTGGTTTCGGATCATTTCGGGCTGTTTTGCAATGGCTGAAGCTGGTATCTGGTATTGTTCTTCGCGTTCGCGAGGGTCCCCTCGAGTTCGCGAAGAAGGATTTGGCTTCTGGGGTTTTGTTCTTCGCGTTCGCGAAGAGAGCCTCGCGTTCGCGAAGAAGAGGCAATTCTGTTGCGCAGGTCTTACTTTGGAGGCTCGTATCTCTCAATCTACAATGAATTTGGAGATGTATCAAAAATGAAAGTTGTATCTCTTTGAATCTAGTTTCCAGAAACATATTATAATAGTCATTTGGAGTTGTGTGTAAAAAGTTATGACCATTACACTAGAGGCTGTCCGAGCAGAGTTTGGAAAATGAATTTTTGGAACTTTGTTCTTCACGAACGCGAGAGGAGGACCGCGGACACGAAGAACAAATCCCTGGGCAGAAGAATAAAGTCCAAACTTCGTCCCATTTGCCATTTTGACGATTTGGAGCTCCGATAAGGCGATTTTTCGGGAGATTTTTGGAGAGAACAACGGGGTAAGTATTCTTAACTCAATTTTGGTTGTATAACTTGAATCTATCACTAGTTTTGGTGTTTAATCCGCGAATTTTGTTGGAAAGTATAGAAAATCCTCTTGGATAGAATCATGGATTTGAGGGTCGAAATGTTATGGGAATTGGATAATTTTTGTATGGTTAGACTCGTGGCGAGATAAGGAATCCGATGATGTGAATTTTGTAATTTTTCGAGAAGTGGGCCCGTGGCTCGGGTTTTGCTAGTTTCGAGATCTTTGCTATTTTTCGATGGTTTTCTATTGGGTATTGTTCCCTTATCATATTGTGATGTATTCACTCTGATTTTGGTTAGATTCGACGCGCGTGGAGGCCGATTTGAGGGTCAAAGGCGTCGCGAGCTAGAGATTTCACCGGTTCAAGGTGAGTAATGATTGTAAATGATATCCTCAGGGTTTGAAACCCCGAATTTGCACATCATAGTGTTGTATATTATGGTTGGGAAATGAAGCAGTATAGCTTTTGAAAGGTTTGGTGTGTAAAATGAAACCCGTGGTCAACAGGTGTGTAACAGGGATTTGGTCGTAAGTTGGATGGGTAAACTATGTATTTCGCCTATTTTTGCCTATAGCTATATTTTATACCATCTGACCATCAAAGGTTCACAAATTGGCATTTTAGGTGCAACATGATAGCAAAGTAAGGAGGCAATTATTCATATGGATTTAAGACCGCAAATGTAATCCCAAGACATAATTTCAATTCATAAAACTCGATTTTATAACTCTTTGTTCAAGTTAAATTACAACATGCTAAGAGTTAAATTCTTTTAAGTGCAAAAAATAGTATCTAGTCCTCAAGAGAGTGTTTAATACATCAGTTGAAATAGCCATTGCATATTTAACCACATTATGTATAGAAACATGTTCTTTCTACAGCCATAATGTAACGACCCGGCCGGTCGTTTTGAGAATTTACGCCCCGATCCCCTATTAACTGCTTCCCCCGTGTTTATTTCTGCTATTGTGATTTTCCAGGATGATTCGTTTTGAGTTTCGGAGTGTTTTGGGACACTTAGTCCCTAAATGAGAGCTTAAGCTTTAGAATTTGGACCGTAGTCGGAACAGTGTGAAGACAACTTCGGAATGGAATTTTGTCAATTCCGTTAGCTCCGTTGGGTGATTTCAGGCTTAGGGGAGTATCCGGATTGTGTTTTGGAGGTCCGTAGCTTATTTAGGGTCGAAATGCCGAAAGTTGAAATTTTGAAGTTTTCGGACCGATAGTGAAAATTTGATATCGGGTCAGAATTCGACTCCAGAAGTTGGGATAGGTCCGTAGTGTTGAATGTGACTTGTGTGCAAAATTTGGGGTCAATCGGACATGGTTTGGTTGGTTTCGGCATCGGTTGTAGAATTCTTGAGATTTCAAGTTCATTAGGCTTGGATCGGAAGGTGATTCGTGATTTTAGCATTGTTTGATGTGATTTAGGGTTCGACTAAGTTTGTATGATGTTTTAGGATTGGTTGGCATGTTTGGTTGAGGTCCCGGGGGCCTCGGGTGAGTTTCAGATGCTTAACGGAATTGAATTTAGACTTAGACAATTTCTGAACTTGCTGAACCTGTTGTTTTCGCACCTGCAGATTTTGGACCACAGGTGCGGCGCCGCTGAAGCGGTTTGGCAACCACATATGCGGTCTAAGGCATAAGGGCATGTGGTCGCAGATGCGGCTCAAGGACCGCTGAAGTGGAACTGCATCTGCGAGGAAAGGAGCGCAGGTGCGGTATCTGGAGGCTTAATGAATTTTCGCAGATGCGCAACCCCAGCCGCAGAAGCGGGATCGCAGGTGCGGTGGACCCCTCGCAGAAGCGGAAATCGCTGGGCAGAAAAGAGTGAAATCGAGGGATTGAGTTCATAATTTCAAAAATTGATTTAGAGATCGGTAGAAGGAAATTTCTTGAGAGATATTGAAGGAGAACAATTGGGTAACGAATTCTAACTCTAATTTGGTTCTAATACATTAATCTATTGCTATTTTTCTCATCTAATTAAGGAATTTGAGGGTAGAAGTTTGGAAATGGGGGAAAGAGTTCCCCAATGGAAAATCTGAGTTTTGAATAAGAATTTGACGTCAGATTGGGATGATTTTTGTACGAGTGAACTCGTGAGTGAATGACTGTTCATAAACTGTAATTTTTACTCGATTTCGAGATGTGGGCCCGGGGGAGGATTTTTGGGCGTTTTTCTATTTTCTCGCCTTAGCTTCGGTTCCTTTAGCTAAACTAGTTGTTTGTAGTTATATTTACATTATGAAATTGATTTGATTAGATTTGGGCCGCTTGGAGTTGGATACTCGTGGCAAGAGCTTGATTTCGGATTTGATTTGAGCTTGGTTCGAGGTAAGTGGCTTGCCTAACCTTGTGTGGGGGAACTCCCCTTAGGATATTGGTACTGTTGTTATATGAATGTCTTATACGTGAGGTGACGAGTGCGTACATGTGCTAATTGTTGAAAAACCCCCGTTTCCATTAAGTAAATATCTGTGTTTTTCCTTTAATTGAGTAATATTAGTATTTGAGGCCTACTGTGTAGTTTAGGAAAGCATGTTTATGTGACTTAAGTGTCTTAACTGCTTTAAATGTTTTACTTGAATTCTGTGTAGCATGCTTAGGGTAGAATTACCCGTTTACTTGATATGAACTTGTATAGAACTGTAAATTTCCTTGTTGAAACTGTTGTGTATTTACTTTGGGACTACGGAACGAATTTCCGGGAGATCCCCTTGCATGTTTATTTTAGGACTACGGATCGGTATTCCGGGAGATCCCCTGCACATTTATGATTTGGACTACGGGATGGTATCCCGGGAGATCCTCTGTACATTTATGTTTGGGACTACAGGACGTTATCCTGGGAGGTCCCTTGTTGCTATCTCTGCGTATTGATGTATTCTTTCTATGATTTCATCTTTATTGACTGTCAGCATCTTTAATTATACTGTCACCTTTCATACTGTTTTACCTTGTTATATATGTATAACTAGTAGGGTCCTGACTTGATCTCGTCACTACTCGACCGAGGTTAGGCTTGGCACTTACTGGGTACCGCCGTGGTGTACTCACGTCCTTTCCTGCTCGTGTTTTTTGTGTGCAGATCCAGGTTCTTCTGCTCAGCCATACTATCCATGAGGCGAGGCGATCCAGATACTTCGAGGTACATCTGCCACGTCCGTAGACCTAGAAGTCCCTCTCTATTCTCCCTTTAGCTATAAACTTCTTGTATTTTCTTTCATTTAAACTTCTGGAGTTAGAACACTATGTATTTTCTTTAGCTTGTGGTTCATGAGATTCAGAGTTTTGGGAGTGCTATGTTCAGTTTGAGAAAGTGTTATTGTATATGCCGAGCGGTATTTTAAACACTTTATGTATATTTACCTATTAGATGGCTAGTTTTTGTACTTTTAATTTCTCTTTTCGCAATTGTTAGGCTTACCTAGTCATAGAGACTAGGTGCCGTCACGACAGTTCCGAAGGGAGAACTTGGGTCGTGACAAGTTGGTATTAGAGCTCTCGATTCATAGGAGTCATGAATCACAAGTCGGTTTATTAGAGTCTCGTGGATCAGTACGGAGACGTCTGCACTTATCTTCGAGAGGCTATGTAACTGTTAGGAAAATTCCACTTCATTTGATTCCTTGTCGTGCGAGATTTTTGATATCAAAATTCTAAACCTCTATCTTCTATTCTCTCACAGATGGTGAGGACACGTGCTACCGGAGATGATCAGACACCCGCGCCCCTGCTAGAGCCGCCAGAGGTCGGGGCCGAGGTAGAGGTCGAGGACGCGCACGTGGTGCAGCCAGAGCACCCGGGCGAGCTGCTACAGAGGAGCCACCAGCAGCTCCAGCCGAAGCCCAGGCGCGTGATACGCCTAATACTACTACTACTACTCCAGCTCTCCAGGAGACCCTTGCCCAGTTCATGAGCATGTACACCACTTTAGCTCAGGCAGGGTTGATTCCCTTTGGTGCAACCAATCTCAAGCCGGGGGAGGAGCACAGACTCCCGCTGCCCGCACCCCAGAGCAGCGGGTTCTGGTTGATCATATCCCATAGGTTATATCGTTACCGCCTGTAGCCCCAGTTCAGCCCGAGTATACGGTAGTAGCTTCAGAGGAGGAGAAGCGGAGGCTTGAGAGGTTCAAGAAGTACCGGCCTCCTACATTCAGTCGTCTAGCATCAGAGGATGCTCAGGGATTTTTGGAGGAGTGCCACCGTATCCTCTGCACTATGGGTATATCAGGGTCGAGTGGGATTTATTTTACTGCCTTCTAGCTTCGAGGAGGAGCCTATCAGTTGTGGCGTACTTTTGAGTTGGACAATCTGGCTAAGGCAGCTTCCCTTACATGGACTCAATTTTTAGATATGTTCTTGAGGGAGTATGTCCCTCAGAGCCTCAGGGACGCATGGCGCACGGAGTTTGGGAATTTGCGCTAGGGTTCTATGTTCGGAGTATGCTGTCCGTTTTAGTGACTTGGCTAGGCATGCACCAGCCTTGGTTTCTATGGTTCGTGAGAAAATTCACCGATTTATTGAGGGGCTTATTCCCAGCATCAGATCTAGCATGTCCCGGGAGTTGGAGATGGATATTGCTTATCAGCAGGTGGTGAGCGTTGCTAGGAGAGTAGAAGGCATGCATGCTCGGGATAGAGAGGAGAGAGAGGCCAAGAGGTCTCGTGAGTCGGGCCATTATTCTGGTGCCCGTGCCCTAGCTGTTGTTCGTCATGGTAGGGGTTATATGAGTCGCCCCGTTCATTCAGCTCTTCCAGCAGCCAGTGGTATTCCAGCTCCTTCTAGACCTCAGGAGCCTTTTTATGCACCTCCAGTATCTAGTGCGCCTCCTGCGCGGGGTGCTTTCAGTGGTCAGTCCAGTAGACCTGGCCCAAGCCAGTCACAGTCGCCACGTCCTCCTAGAGCTTATTTTGAGCGTGGAGACACACGCCATATGGTGAGGGATTGCCCTAGACTTAGGAGGGGTGCACCTCTACAGACTTCTCAGCCACAGCGTGCTCCGTAGAGTTCCCAGGCTATGATCACAGCACCAGTTGCTACCCCACCTGCTTAGCCAGCTAGAGGTGGAGTTCGGGGAGGTAGAGGTCGCCCTAGAGGGGGAGGCCATGCCAGATACTATGCCCTTCCTGCCCGTACTGAGGCTGTTGCCTCCGATTCTGTTATTACAGGTATTGTTCCGGTCTGTCATAGAGATGCATCGGTTCTATTCGATCCAGGCTCCACTTATTCTTATGTGTCCTCTTATTTTGCCCCGCATTTGGGCGTGTCTCGGGATTCTTTGAGTTTTCCTGTTTATGTTTCTACTCCCGTGGGAGATTCTCTTATTGTGGACCACGTTTATCGGTCGTGTTTGATTGCTCTTAGTGGTTTTGAGACCAGAGCCGATTTGTTATTGCTCAGCATGGTAGATTTTGATGTTATCTTGGGCATGGACTGGTTGTCTCCCCATTATGCTATTCTTGATTGTCATGCCAAAATCATGACGCTGGCTATGCCAGGTGTACTGCGAGTAGAGTGGAGGGGTACCTTAGATCACACTTCTAGTAGAGTTATTTCATTTCATAAAGCTGAACGAATGGTTGAGAAGGGGTGTGACGCGTATCTAGCTTATGTGAGAGATGTCAGTATTGATACCCCTACAGTTGATTCAGTCCCAATAGTGCGAGATTTCTCTGATGTGTTTCCAGCTGACCTTCCGAGTATGCCGCCCGACAAAGATATTGATTTTGGCATTGATCTGTTGCCGGGCACTCAGCCCATTTCTATTCCTCCTTACCGTATGGCCCCTCCAGAGTTGTAGGATCAGTTACATGAATTGCTTGATAAGGGTATTATTCGGCCCAGTATGTCACCGTGGGGTGCTCCTGTCTTGTTTGGGAAGAAGAAGGATGGTTCTATGCGTGTGCATTGATTATCGCCAGTTGAACAAAGTTACAATGAAGAACCGGTATCTTTTGCCTCGTATTGATGACCTGTTTGATCAGTTATAGGGTGCTCGAGTGTTTTCTAAGATTGACTTGCGTTCAGGTTATCATCGGTTGAAGATTCAGGAGGCAAACATCCCAAAGACTGCTTTCACGACTCGGTATAGTCATTACGAGTTCCTTGTTATGTCATTTGGGCTGACCAATGCCCCAACAGCATTTATGCATTTGATGCACAGTGTATTTTGGCCATATCTTGACTCGTTCGTGTATTGATGACATTTTGGTATACTCCCGAAGTCGGGAAGATCATGAGCAGCACCTGAGGACAGTGCTTCAGACTTTGAGAGAAAAGAAGTTATATGCAAAGTTCTCGAAATGTGAGTTTTGGTTGGATTCTGTGGCATTCTTGGGTCACGTAGTATCGAGTGAAGGGATCAAGGTGGATCCGAAGAAAGTGGAAGCAGTGCAGAGTTGGCCCAGACCATCCTCAGCTACAGAGATCCGTAGTTTTCTTGGCTTGGAGGGTCATTACCGTCGATTTGTTGAGGGATTTTTGTCTATTGCAACACCTATGACCAGGTTGACCTAGAAGGGTGCTCCATTTAGGTAGACGAAAGAGTGTGAGGAGAGCTTTCAGAAGCTCAAGACAACTTTGACTATAGCCCCAGTATTGATATTGCTTACAGGTTCAGGGTCTTATACTGTCTATTG